ACAGCTGGGGTGGTCGTGGCGTCCAGACTCGTAAACGATCCCGGCGCTTCGTAGTTCGACAATCTTCGGGCGATCTCTAAAGTCGATTTTCCGGTGTTGTCTCGTAGTTGAAAGTGATTCGGACTGTGGAGAGCATAGACTAGGAGCAAAAGGTGAGCCTTCAATTGAGCGCTAGGCCCCTGGAGAAATGCATCTGGCAGACAATGAACCACGGCCTGACTGTAAAGGGACGTGGACCGCGCGATGTGTGGGCACCCTCTGGTAGAGGGGCTTGAATAGAGAGCACCTATGGCGCATACCATTTGGACGAAGTAAGACTGATAATTGTTGGAGGGCACCTGTTGTTCGACGCACGCTTGGAACCATTCAACAAGGACGTTCTCGTCCAGAAACGACCAGTTGGGGTGAACGAGTTGGAAATAACAGGCTAGGTCGGCTCTTCTTAATAGCCCAATGTCGTCGTCAGAGGGTGGGTTGGGAAGGAATGTGTTATCGTGAGTGGCGGATGGTGTTTGGATGATGGCGATGACGCCATCTCGTGATGCTGCCAAAGAGGGCGAGCTGCGTCTATGATGCTGTCAACGATATGACACTAACATCTCCCCAGGCCGGCGAACTTACTCTGCATTGATTGTTTGCATTCCCTCCATGATCTCCAAGTTTGACGTTGATTGTAATGAGGAACCGGCTTCTGTGGTGACTGTGCTGGGCGATCGTCTAAGGGATGGTGGATCCAGGGTAGCCGTGCTTCCGAATGTCGATTGTCCGGGAAGCGGCTGATTTGACGGATTTCCCTGCTTCCTGATCAAGACCATACAGTTCGCGAGACTTCTCTCGACCTGGGCAAGACGCATCTCAAGTCCTTTGACGTACTCCCATGGCACCGATGCAGCATCCCTGGGCTTTCGCTCCTGGAACCGAACACATTCTGACCCTGCTCTCTTGCATTCACCGCACTTGGGAAGGGCATGGTCGCACTTCTTCTTCCGATGTCGACAGCGTATACAGGCGATCGATGGTATGTCGCTTGGGCTTGATGTTCGCGTCATCTGACGAGCCTTCGGTGTATTGGTTTGGTCGGATCCTGGGCGGCTGCTTCTTTGTGGGTCGACTGGAGGTCCCCCGTACGCACTCTTCACGTTAATCTTTGAGAAAGTTGACGACACCGTTGAAAAGCCGCCTTGGTTCTTCTCTTTGATATCTGTAGGAGCAGGAAGCGTGATGACATGGCGAAGGAGTAAGTCTGGGAGCAGAGAATAAGGCAACAAAGGCATGCACGGGTGGTCAGGGGTGATAGCCGTAGACGATGCGTTTCGTTAGAGACTTTAGGGTACAGAACTGTCGGTGGAGTCTTGTAAGGTAAGATGGAGGGCGAAGGCCACCCCCCCTGGACAGGGCTGCCACGCTGGTCCGATCTCCTAGGCGCACACGGCCACTTAGGAGCTCTACCCCCCCGCACGATTCCAAGGCTGTTCCCCGCCACTGGAGTACAGCAACACGAACTATACCATGCGATTCAAATCCGGCCATAGTAGTTCCTATGGAAGGACGAGTCCTAAATTTGACGTACATCGAGTCATTGACTGCCCTTCACACAAGCCTAGCCGCTAGTCCAACCAACCACTACCACATTGACGGATCAGCTACTCTCCCTACGCAGAAAGGCGTAGGCACAGTTTTGACCCAAGATTAGATGCCGGTCTTTCTCGTTGCCATAATACTGGCTCCTCTGAGTTCGGTTCTCTGAATTCGGCCTATCTTCCAGTGGAACTCAAGTCCGCAAAAAGGTTATGGTTGCTAGCAACGGCAATCATCAACCTCAAGATCAAGTTTCTGTAGACTTTCCTTCCAAACCCCTGGGTAAATCACTCTCGGCGGACACTTCAAGGAGTCCGGTGGATTGTTGTTCGTAGCAAAGTCTCAGGGATCGAAGGTACAGAAGCCTTTAGCAGCGATTTACCGTCTGCCGTTCTGCATCTACAGCGGATGAAAGTCGGTGTGATTTTGCGCACCGCATCGCGCTGCATACCAACCTTCTGACTGGCTGCGGATGGATGATACCCGTTACATCCGCGCGAGCCTTTACATGACGCGACGAGCCATGTTTATCGACAACATCGATCGTGATGGGCCTTGAGCGGGCCTCTACGTAACTCCCGGTCCTCCGTAATATCGTACAAGGTCGCGTTGTTGCTGAAAGTTTACGTCAGGTTGGTATTCCCGTTGCTACAACCCCTAATTTGGTAATTTGGGACATCTTGAACTACGTTGCTGCATCCAAAGTTGGTATCAGTTGCATATTCTTTGACAGCTTCGTGGTGGGTTGCTTGTTGAACTCTGCCAGCTGGTTGGGCAGCAAGTTGACTAGGCAATCTGAATAAACTTTCGCAAAGGCACCTATCTCCTTCGAATCCGTTCTCGTGAAGACACAGATGGGTTTTCCCCGGGCACACAGCAGCTTTCTATCCTTGGTGTACTCTGTCCGCTTTGTCCCCCGATATCCGTCCACAGATGCCGCCATTCGGGGCCGAACCAAAGAGTGAAGCCCGGTTTTCGGTGACAGACCCATAAATTGCCGTCATTGGGAGATTCTGTCGGACTGAAAGTCCGCCGCAGGAACGCCCCTTTGCCAGCCCCGGGATGATCGGCCCCCTTGGCGTGACAGGAATCAAGTGAGACAAGCCTTCTTGCAGGACCTTTTGCCTAGGCAAGTTCTTGCCGTCTCCAAAGGCCCCGCCGTCAGATGGAGACATCTCCAACCACTTGGCTCCAAGCCAAACGCTTAGACCGCGTTGGTCAGCAATTTGTGAACTACAATACTGAGTAAGGCCGTAAAGCTGCCAGGGGTCCCTGAGAAACTTTACGTGACGTTACGTCGACAGCTGTAAAGAAGAACATGAGTCGGGTCCACTAAGAGGGCGGATAAATATTTAGGGGGAGCGGCTGCCTTATTCATACGCTGGCTTCACTCATGCGCACCTAACGATACTCGCGGATGGTCCGCGACTCTAACTCAATCGGGGTACTATAACCTACCGGTGGGATAGGAATATGTTTTGATATGCAATTGGCCCATGATGGCGGGGTTCACTTTTGCGCCCTACGTACTGCTGACTGTTCATGCCTGTGAAAGCCTGAAGGTTCCTGTCTGCTATTCATTGAGGTGCTCTGTGGCGCCGCGCGGTGCACCTAAAGGAACCTCACATTACTATTGGAATGTCAAGGACACTGAGTTCGCTACTACTGCGAGGTATCCTCGTTTTCGTGATACGGAGAGAGCCCATGCGGGCTCAATTGCAGAATTACCTTCTCATCTGGAATGAACCAGTCAGATGAAATGTAAAACAGAGTCAAATCTTTCCGCCGCTCCATTCAACCGCCTGTCTTCATTTACGAAGTCATCGATGCGTAGAGCATCATTCTGCTGCAAGAAGCCTCAGACACTGACCATTCAACGCTGTGCGTGTAAGCGCTTAGCCGGCCCGTCGCAGTGAAGTCGCCTCTGTTCATTTTACAGTTCTCATGGGCGAAAACCCACGGCAAGCTACGCACAGACTGGGAATTTGCTTTTATTCGCAACATCAGGCGAGTTCCATCGGCGGGCGCCGTCGCTGCAGGCTAATGTCTCACCGCGCGCATCGCGCGCATTCCATCAGGGTGCACAATAGGTTTGATGGGGTGGAATTTCAAATCAGACCTTGCTCCACAGATTCAGGGGAGCCGGCTGGAGCCGTAATTGCTGCTCGCCTGCTTCCGATCGTCTGCCAGATGTTAACAAGGATGACGACCATATCTTAAGGGACGGTAACCCTGTTAGACGAACTTCAATTGAGAGTCTAAAGCTCTTAGGCTGCGCTGCTCATGGTTGACAGCCACGAGGTTTTACGGAGAGATTCTGCCTTTCCTGCCTGGGGCAAATTCCCCCATTTACTGTCCATCTCGGACTCATTGGGTACGGACCTTCAATTGCAATACCGAGCAAAAACGATCAAAGGCGTATCTTCTTTGTTTCTTCCATGTCAGACGCTCTCAATGATTGCTCGAAGTAGCCTGATGGACTACTCGACTCGAGCCAGCATGCTGGTCTCTCATTCGGAGTTGGCCACGATTGATCGTCGACCAGGAAGACGGTACTGCGGTGAGTTGAATCGCTCGGGAACGGACAGTCTGGGTGTTACGATAGATTTTGAGCGACATCTTGAACAAGAATTGTTGCGGATGAAAGATCTTAACGAACAATGAGTTTGCAATCCGAGTTTGCAAATTGATGCCCTCATCAAACGTATGTGCAGCCAAGATGGTCCGTGGCACACAAGGCTCGGATTCACGGCGCATCAGACTTCCTATTCGAGAAATAAAACCGACAAACTCGCACGTGATCACCTGTATGGCGGCCAGCAAGACCATGAAGCTTTTCTTTCAATTCTTACACCTTGCTGAATCTTTCGGAAGACGATACGGATATCAATCAGATAGGCATCTTTCCGTACTTTTCGGGTAAGTACCCGGCTCGGGATTACTAAGATAATGACTCAAGTCAATTAGTGCATCGGACGTTGTCTCCGAAGGCCGGACTAGGAGCACCATCATTGCACAGCACAAAATCGCGTGGGTCCGATCACGGCCCTCCGAAGACCCCTGTAGTTTCTCGGTTTTCGGACCGTAGTTGCGCAGGTGGTGCTCCATTCATGTTCTTCAGTGACAGTAGCGACTGATGAGACTCGCCGTCCAAGAAATGCTTCATGTTATCAATCTTGACCCACCGAGTCGATAGGAATTGAGCCATTATCACCTTGCCTTCTTGTTGGATGGCAAGACTAATGATAACGGATTACATCCCGAGATCGCAATCCTATGCGTAGTAGAGGGTTTGTACATAAGATGCGTGTGAACAAGAAGGCATCTATTCCAGGCCATATGCCAACTTCAAGAAGCCCATTTCAACCCACAATATTCGGCTGCATTTACGACGAATAATACGTAAAAACTATCCAATCATCATGCAGAAGATCAACCCCGTCGGCTGGGTAGGTACAAGACGCTCCCTCACCAGGATACCTTGCTGAAACGACGACTAGTATGGCCTCGGCTCTATGGGCCTACCCATGGCCCTCAACCTGCATAAGAAGCTGCAACAACATGGGTCCAGCCTGACATTTTCGAACCGAACTTTATCCAAGGGGGATGCGTTGGTCGACGCAGGGGCCGTCGCAAAGAGCTCCATAGTGGAGGTTGCCCAAACATGCGATGACATCTTCACCATGGTAAGTCTTTGTCTGAAGTGGAGTTTTACCCTAAGTCTGACCAACTGTTCAGGTCTCTGCCGACGCAGTCCTTCAAGCTTTGGTAAAGGAGCTCGTTAGCAGTGGCATCAGCTTGAAGGGCAAGACTTTGGTGGACTGCTCCACAATTCACCCTGACACCGCAGCAGCAGTGTCAGAGACGCTGCAAGAAGCTGGCGCTGTCTTTATCGCCGCCCCGGTCTTCGGTGCTAGTCCGGTTGCTCAAGCTGGACGATTGATCTTTGCCATGGCTGGCCCGCAGGCTACGATACAACGTCTGGAGCCTCTGGTCCTGGACGTCATGGGTAGAAAGGTGATCAACATGGGCGAGGATGTTACCAAGTCTCCCATGCTCAAAGTTACTGGGTAGGTGCCGAGCGCCCCTCCTATCCGTTCTCGTATGATTCGTATTGCACATCTCTGACACTTCTGGTAGAAATGTGCTGCTAGTTGTCTTCTTGGAAGCTATTGCAGAGACTCAAGTTCTTGCCGAGCACAACGGCATCGGTACGAATGCGATGGAGGAGCTCATCTTCGAAAACTTTGGACCTGTTTTGGGAAGTTATTCGCGCCGCATGACCAGCGGCTCGTGGGCACCAAAGGAGGGCTGGGCTGGTTTCGCGGTTTCAAACACCATCAAGGACGCAAAGCACGCGCTGCGGGTGGCTGGTGACCTCGGGGTGAGAATGCCGGCTCTCGATATCGCAACCAACAACATGCTGAGTGCCAGGGCATATGGGGGTGAGAATCTGGACGGCGCTGCCCTTTACGGAACCTTGCGGTCTCAGGCTGGGCTGCCGTTTTGGTCAGAGAACAGTCGGCAAGAGTGATTTCCTGAACATTGGATGGATTTGAACGCTACATAGAGATAGACTTTTCGTAGACATTAGACAGATACCCTACGGCAAATGAAGGAACCGATTTTGATATGGATAATGCAGGACTGAAGACCAATGTTCACCGTGGGGAATGGCGACCTGAGGTCGCCGACCTCCGGGCCGGTTTCCGTACAAGTATGTCAGCATACGTCCGACCTACTGTTTGTCGCATTCCACGTCGCCTTATTGGGTAGGATCTGCCGAGACGCAAAGGTTACGAGATGATGTTACGAGAAATTTGGCGAAAGATTTGACGAAGTGAAGAAGTATTAAAGTAAGGGGAATCGTTGCGAGTATCCTCGGCCGTAACTCCTAGTTGGTCGAGTATGCACAATGACCATGTCAAACTTCGTGACCACCAATGCGACTCAGCCCTAGATATGTGTCAAGACTGATTGCAGCGTATGATTTGCGTGTTCTAATGCCGCTTCGCTGGCCTCAAAGTACGAGCTCAGGGAACCTCGGTCGTCGGTCACGTCGTTCGCGGATAATTAGAACCTGGTCTAGTTCTATCGACGACGGTTATGACGGATCAGATTCCGTCTGCACCGGAGTCAAACGGGAAAACCTTGCGCTGCCCAAGCTTAGCTTAGACTTCATCTGAAGCATCTGAAACAGTGTCACTGTCGGGAACATGGCAAGTGTCATCACGGGCCAATCCACTCGAAGACTATCACCTAAAACAGGATGGACCACGTTGTGATTTGATCTAGCTTTCTGAATCAAGAGGAGCTTTTCTGCCGTGTCGGTGTCTACTAGTCAACCTCAGAGCTCTATCGAAAATTTGCTGACGTTTAGTGTAGAAGTGGGATGATTTTGCTTTTGAGTTGAGGCTAACTCCAACTTAGAATTGCGATGACTTACATATCAGAGGCTGAGTCTTGGATTATTTCCCTGTTCGTCCGCCTCGTGCTCCGTACGTAAGGGCTTGACTATTCAGAGGAGCTTAACTCATAGGGCTCACTCATGTCTAGACTTCAACATCACCACGAGCCGGAGGAGAGTGCCCAATCAATTTTTCTCTACCCAATAAGGTTCATTGCGTCTATTCATTAAGGAGCCCGAGGGAAAAGGGGCCGAAGTTTACCGACGCCTGCCCGGTGTGCCGGCCGCGAAGCCCCACTCGTCTGCCGATCTGCGGGTCTGATCCGGCGCGGGCTTTCGGGGGTTCAGGGTCGATGACAGCGCAACACTTTAAACACATTCTGGCGCAGAAACCTTCGATCGCTGGGCACATAATGAGTTTGTGGCTGAAGTACCAGTGTTTTCGTCATTGTCAGACTTGATGTCGACACCAGATACCAGCTAAGTCCAAATCACCTCCGCGCAGAAGGTTGCCAAGTTGCAATACCAAGAATACCAAGAGACCGCTAAGGACTAAATCATATCTTGTCGCCGCGGTTTTCCTGTCGAGTCAATCACGTCTTTTCCTTGGTATATCGCATCATTTTTGGGACTCAACAGCTCAAAACGCGTTTTGCCCTCAATGTTCCTACCTGAATTTTCGACAGCAATTGAGTGATTTGCGACAAGCAAGCATCAAGCACTGCCACGGCCAAGGGTCTAGCGACTGCGAAGTTGATGATGTGATCAATCAAACGCTGACTTTCAGCGCATCCGATGAGCAATCTCAACATTGGCAGTGGTTGAATGGCTTCATTTTGGCCCAATCGAAGGGTCTTGGCTGCTTCACCCCTGGGGCTTTGTGGCTAAGGCTGCCTCTTTGTCTGTGGAAGAAGATGACCACCCTCCGCGAAGCTCTTGAGCGGAGGCTGGGCATGCATAGAACCCATTTACTTGAGTGATTTTGCGCTAGAAGGATTTTTCGGGAGATAATGTTCGCAATGGAAGGCTTTAAACCGTACAGATCCTCGGCTGACCGTTGTCGTCTCGTGCTTCTTTGCTTTCTAGACGATGCTTTGGAACCTCCGCGCCAATATGTCAGAGAAGAAGGAGATAGAGAGCTCGTCGACTCCTCCGTCGGAGCTTGACTGCAACGTCGACAGGAACGATGTCTCAAAAGTCGAGCAGACAGACGAAGAGATCGAGCGGGAAAGGAATCGGATACTTCGCGAGCAAGAGGAACTTCGGAAGCAAGATGCACCCATCATTCCAATCATGTCGTTTTTCAAGAAGAAAAGCGGCTATGACGAGAACGCGATAGCAACTCAACCTTCTGTTTACGATCATCCCTCCACCGCCAGATTCTTCCAACCGCACCCGCGATATGAAAATCTGCACCGCTTCGACCCTACCTTCCGCTGGACATGGGGCGAAGAGCTCCGTCTCATCAACAAGCTCGACTGGAAAATCACTTTTTTCGCATGCCTTGGTCAGTTCTTCGATGCATAGTACCGCCCCAGTTGCATCTACTTACTCCCCTATAGCATTCTTCGCCCTCGACCTGCCCCGCGGAAACTTGAGTCAAGCGAATTCGGCATCATTTCTCGAGAGTCTGGGGATGGACACCAATGACTACAACTTAGGCAATACAGTCTTCCAGATCTCGTTTTTATGCGCTGAGCTTCCCTCGCAGATGGTTAGCAAGAAACTCGGTCCCGATAGATGGATCCCATTCATCATGTGTTCCTGGAGTCTCGTATCCGGCTGCCAGTTTTGGCTCAGCGGGAGAACTTCGTTCCTTGTCTGTCGCGCGCTACTCGGCATTCTTCAAGGAGGCTTCATCCCGGACATGGTTCTCTATCTCACATACTTCTTCAAGTCAACAGAGCTACCCTTCCGACTCGCCATGTTCTGGACAGTCCGCCGCATCACCGACATTGTCGCACCTCTCCTTGCCCTCGGCGTCCTGCGAATGGATGGCCTCAGTGGTTATGAGGGCTGGCGGTGGCTGTTCATAATCGAAGGCATCTTGACCATGTCGATCAGCATTTGGGCATGGTTTATGATGGCCCCGTCTCCAACCCAAACACGAGCACCTTGGCGCCCCAATGGTTGGTTCAACGAGCATGAAGAGAGGGTGCTGGTCAACCGCATTCTGCGCGATGATCCATCCAAGGGCGACATGCACAACCGTCAAGCCATTACTCCGAAGTTGCTTCTTCAGTCTTTGGCTGACTGGGAACTCTGGCCCATCTACATTTTCGGTCTCATATGGGAGATCCCTTCTGGTCCTCCCGACCAGTACCTCACCTTGACTCTCAGAAATCTGGGCTTCAACACGAACGACACCAACCTTTTGAGCATACCACCTCAGTTCCTCGGCGCAATCTTCATGATGATCATGACGTATCTGTCTGAGATTTGGGACTCCAGAGCCTTGTTTGGTGCCTTCACCCAGCTCTGGTACTTGCCCAACCTGATAGCCATGGCGGTACTCCCATCGAACAGCAGTCCCTGGGTGCAATATGCTGTCGTAACAGTGCTCCTGTCTTACCCTTCGCGTAAGTCACTCGACTTAAGACAGCCTTAGAAACATCTGACCCGGATTCTAGCTCATGCAATGCACGTTTCTTGGGCATCTCGTAATTCCCATTCAGTTCGCACTAGAGCTGTGTCGGCTGCGTTGTATAAGTAAGTCGGCCTTTGTTTGGCACCGAGCAGAAAGGAGTCTGATTGTTTCGCAGTATGATGGTACAGCTTGCTCGTGTAATCTACTCGAATATTTACCGTGAAGATGATAGACCGGAATGTGAGCTTACATGAGTACCCACTCCGTGAACTCATTTCAGCTAACGTCGAGTCTCAGACCGCAGAGGGAATCGCGTGCTCATTGGCATCTGCTGCGGGAACATATGCATCTATCTTCTAGCGAAAGTATTCTACATGTGGTGTAACAGAAAGAGGGAAACAGAATGGAACGCTATGACAGAAGAGGTTAGTTGACCGGTAGTCTCTGAGCTGCTCTGATTAATAGCTAACAACTCTATTAGGAGCGAAATACCTACCTGGCCACGACCAAAGACCAAGGAAGTAGTAGGAAAGATGTTCGCTTTAAGCACTAAGCTTTAACTGCGTTCGAGCCATGAAATACGTACACGTAAGGACAGGGCGGTTTTCTCACAAAATACAAATCCTTTCCTTCCCGCCCCCTTCTGGCTTTTTTCAGAACACAACAGATTGGTGTCTCATGGGATGCCATATCGATTTCTACTCAATGTATTGTTAGGAAAGAGGGCAGGAGACGGCTATCTGGACATGTAATACCCACATTCACGCTTGGCTGTGAGATACCTTGGCCCTTGCAAGTCCGAATGGAAGATGTTCCATCATCTTGCAGCATCCTACAAGGCAGCTGCAGAATAAGTGCACGTTTATTCATGCAGATGCGCATGTGACATCTCTGGTAGCTCAAAAGGGCTTGCACTTCAAAAATACTCCGGCAGACCATTTCGCTCTGTAACAAGTTGGGACGAGGTCCTTCTTTGCCAAGAAAATCTCTTCGAAGATGAGACAGGTATTGCATTGACCACAGGAAACTGGTATTCTCGCCTGGCTATTGCGGGACAATTGCCGGTCTCAAAGGGTGGCTGGCGGTTGCGTGGCCAGAAGAAAGTATTTTTGAGAATCGTGTTCGAAGATTCTTCGAGGGGAATGAACCCCTCGAGCACAATAAGCATCAGGTAAGACTTTACATCATGTAAAGTAATGAGTTATCTGTTCGAAGCGAGTGCTTAAGGCATTTCTTAGATGTTTCTTTCACATTCAACCTGGATTTATTGCACGGAGGGTATTTAAAGACCGCAAGCTCAGCCACAGCCTTATTGAATTGTTCATGTTTCCTGATCTCTAATGATTCTTTGACCCAATGCCTCTCCAGCTGCTCGAGCTACAACATCTTTCACTCAACGTCAGTCATCCCGACGCGAGGTAAACCTCTAGTGATCCAGTCCAAGGCTCCCGGGCAAATTTCGTCAGTAACGGCCTGGTCAACGGATAGTGATGTGACAATATCTGGCGCTGGTAAAGGGGGAATGAATTTGATCGAGGCTTGGGCCATCCGTCGAGCTGCCCCATTTTGCATAACTGACATCGGGTGATGACATTCACGTTGTGCAGAAAGCCGGGGCCTCGGATACTGCGGGTCGTCTGACCAGACAGCACCAATATGGAGCTCAATGCCAGGGTTAGTTTCTCCGTCCATCCGAACAAGGGAATGAAGAAGCAAGCGTAGGTAGTCATCAAAATAATAGGTGTTCATCAAAGCCAGACGTACATCCAGCAGACCACATTCTCCACAACGGCTTCGTTCCAGCGGAGCATAAAGCACGATCTTCTTGATTTCTCCCAGATGATTCTGCGTGAATCGGTGGAAATTTTCAGCCCCAGGTATTGGAACGGACGGCCGAATATTCAACGTCTGCCAGAGCAATGGTTCAAAGAAGCCTTGCCATTCCTTGGAAACAAGCGTCTAGCTTGCCATCAGATGCTTGTGATCGTCTGAGGTCGTTGTCTCCAACTCCTCGAAAATCATGAGGCGTAGCTCTGGCGGAAGATGGGTCCAGCGACTGGTCTTGGTTTGAAAACGAAACATCATGACGCTAGGTGAGCGGGGGTTCTGTGAAATCTAAAGCGAGATTTCAGTTTTTCGTGTATGGAAGTGCACTGGATTTCCTTGGGGTCGGTCTGCTTATATGCTTTATCTTGCATTTGAGGTCGTCAAGGTTTCTCACATATCATGCGGACCTGTGTGGAAGACCTCTCTGCTTTTGTCGTGATCGTTTACAAATTCCATTCTGGGATGGGAAATGATCCTCAAGGTGTTCATAAAGGTTACAGATCTCGTGTGATTAATTATACCTTGGGAACAATGAAAAATCGAGCAAGGTCGTCCAATACGCCAATTTCGGTTGCGAAAATTTCTTTCCCCGCTTCCTTCTTACGGCGACTGTTTATACAAGAAGGCAATCATATTGATGAACAAGATCAATCTTCACTGGGAGTCTACCGTGGCCCGTTCCCTCATAGACCACACATCCCTCAGGTCATCTATAATTCTCTGTATCTCTCCATAACCCATGCGGTCACGCATTTGATATAATACCAGCTTCACTAGGTCAATGTCCTCCTGGGAGGTGACAGAGTAGCCTAAAATAAGCATAGGCCACGCACCCAAATAGCAACGTGTCCAGGTTTCGTATGCTTCTGGGCGACGCAAGATAGATAGAGCACGAACAACCTGCCATCGAGTTGTTTGTAGAAAAGGTGAGGTGGTACCACCGGTAATTCCTAAAAGCCCTGCCCTCCTCGTCGATTGTGTTGAGATAGAGTACTCTGTGATGTAATCAAGGAGAAGAGACGCAGCCAAAACGAAGAGCGTAATTGCGTCCCTCTGAAACCCTTCGGCTGGAGTTGAGAACGGAACACTGCCGTTTTCTGTTGTATTCGAAGTCACGAATTCTTCCCATGGCTTGATTTCCTGTAGCAGCCGTGTCACCGTTTCCGCACTGGGATGTTCAGGAGAATTTAGCAAGTCAATGATGACTGTTATGAGACGGTATAGACGTAGTGGAAGCCCGAGGACAAGACTCGAATCCGAGAATAGCGTGTTGATGAGCTTATTATCCAAGAAGCTTTCTGACTGACCCATGAATTGCGGATCGATGTGAAAATTTGGAGCGAACGGCTTTCTTGCAGCTAGAAGAAAGGCTTGGTACAGGACGCTCTCTGTTGCTAGTCTGTGGAGCGTGCTGGACATGGACAAAGGCGAGCTTTTGTCTTCGTAACGTAACTTCAGTAGACTCATAGCACCATCGACGTGTTTCCTGGCGTCAAGAGATGTATCTGCGCCCCAGAACTGCAGGTTGTGAAAGTCAGCGTTGGGGTTGTCGTCTGGGACGGACGGAGATTGGCTCACATTATAGAGGTAAAGATATACCACCGTCGTCAGAAGTGTGTCGCTTGGGCTTTCGTGAGAAGAGCCTAGATCTAGGAGCGAACGGTTGACTGACTCGATGGCCCGCAAATAGTACCTCAACGCGGTACTGTGATATCGGCAGTTCTTGGTGAGCATGTATTTATTGGAGGCGGAATTGGCCAAAACAGCATATTTAACGCTGTCGCAACTCATCATCATCCCCATGACCTGGGTCCCGTAGTCCTCCAGGTCAGCTTCGGTGACTGTGGGCAACAACAAAGCAGTGACCAGCACGTTGAGATAGTGATGTGACAAATCATGCTCAATCTCCGGCAGTTCTCTCGGTTCAAAGGATATGAGAGAAAGCTCGTCACACGATGAAGGCGTTGGTGATGGTGGTGATGAGCCTTGTGACGCATGCTTCTCAGATGCTGTCAGTCGTTTGCCGCGAAAACGCCTGTCGTGGAGCTGATCGGAGGACGGCCACGCGCAATCGCGGCCTGAAGCAGCGCAGTTTCGGCAACAGGGTCTCTCTTCCCCGCATTTCACCTTTCGCTGTCTGCCTACAGGGGTTTCAGTGATACTCGGAGACGAAGGAACAGGTCATTTACAGGTGGTACAGCCGGTTTTTGTCCTCAGTCTTGCCCTCGGCATCGTGGTAGAGAAACCGATCGCTATCGCTGTCGCTGTCGCTGATTGAGTCGATTGGAGACTTGGTTAGGCTACGTTCCGACTTCTTCAGTGGACATTAGAGAGACCAGTGGGATAAGAAAAACAAATCGCAGGTGGCCATTTCTTATCAAAAGCATCGACAAACCCCGCACTCATTATCTTTGTGGAGCGCCTAATCACACAGATGGGTTAGGCTGCATCCCACAACAACCCAGACCCCTGAAAGTCCGGGGAAGCTGCCGAACGTGCCAGGTTTCGGCAATTCGAGTTATTGTCCAAGTAAAAAAGAAGAACAAGTTGCAGAACTGCTAAATTACTCGTGTATCTTGAAAACGATGTCTCATTGACTACGACATCATCGAAAAAGGCGACTGCTCGACCATATGCCCGAAATTCCAGATGAAAAGCATGCTATGCATCGCGACGAACAGAGTCACTGACTTACTCTTACTGTTGAATAATCCTGGACACCATCTCAGAGGCAGCGATCGTATCTTCGTCTCGGAAGTGTTTGCCCGCGAGTTGCAACGCAATGGGAGCGTCCTTGAAATCTTCTGGAGTATCTTTGATTGGGGAATTTTCTGTTAGACAAGGCCTAAGGAGGGTAAAAGCCGATTGACTCACATTTCTTGTACTCTCGCTCGTCCTCGGCAGAGCGAGGGTTGTAATCCTCCTCCACAACATCGATGGCTGGATCAACGTGGATTCCCGTCGGAAATATCACACTTGGCTGATCTAGAATATTCCAGATCGTAGTGTAATGCCAGTATTGCGCCTCGCCCAATCTTGCAGGAGGGCCCACGTACGCTGGACACAAGATGAAGTCAACTCCGCGATCCTTCATGCTTTTGTGATAGCTGCGACCAGGTCAGTGTACATCGCTCAGACTGTCATGGGTATATGTATGGAATGGATAACTCACGCGTCCCTAAAGTTGTCTCGTCGAACATTCAGTTCCCAGTTCTCTCTGATAGAAAGTGGTTCAGGCTTTGAGTACGCGAATGCCCATTCTGTCAAGAATGCAACAGGTTCACCGCCCTTCTTCAAGAGTTCTCTTTGAGTTGCAGCTGCATCAGGGAAATAGAGGGTCTGAATGATTTCGGCTCCCTCCTTGTGGTTGTATGGCTCATAGTCAACAACCTTGATTCCGGCATCTTTGAGCTTCGCGACCGCATGCTTCAGGGCCCGTGTAACAGGCGGGTGAGGGTGAGCCATCCTATCCCAGAATGGCATATGTCAGTATCCAAAGTTAATAGGTTGTAGAACGGAGACACTTACCCATCATCCCAAATGACACCTATGGTGAAGTCTCCAGTTTTGTACGGCTCGCGTCGTTTCCAGGGCAAAGGTACAAGCTGGGTCTCTTCCTCCCAAGGCTCCTGATCGATGATGACCTTCTGGAACAGGTCGAGGTCTGCAATACTGTTGGCTAATGGAGACAGTACACAGCGAATGCTCTCTTGTCCGAGCCCAGGTATGCAGACCCCCTTGTACGGGTTGCGCATCGCAGTCGTACGAATACCGTAAGAACCGCAAAAGGCAGCCGGTACCCTTACAGAACCACCGATATCTGTGCCAATGCCCATCACTGCACAACGAAGGCCTAGCGAAGCACCTTCTCCTCCGCTAGACCCGCCACTTGTCAAATTTCGGTTGTAGGGGTTCACCGTTGTTCCGTAAATGGGATTGCTGCAGTCAAGATGCTATTGAAAGCGCCAATTAGCATTCGTGTCGACCACTAGTATTCCAAGAGAACCCGGGCACTTACCATGACGCTCTGAGGCTCGTTCGTCCGAACATGGAACACCGCGCCGGCAGCCTTTGCCAGACGAATGACTAGAGCATCTTCATCGGCCACGTTGTCGGCCCATGCGACATAGCCAGAGTGGACTCTACGGCCTTTCAGGCTCATGTGCTCCTTGGCGGATATCGGTACACCGTGCAAAGGCCCAACGAGGTTCCCGGTTTTCTTGAAGTGCGCATCCAGCTCCTCGGCAGCAGCCAGTGCATCTTCAACCATGAACTCGGTAGCAAAGTTCACAAGTTGATGCGCAATGTGACCTCTTTTCAAGAAAGCCGTGACAGTCTCGACCGCAGTGAGCTTGCCTTCGGCCATCTGACTCGTCAGCTCGGCCGCGGTGCTCGCCGTGATCTGCAGCTCGCGCGGCGTCAACTGTCCGCAAGACTCAACAAAGTTAGATACATTGAGCTGGCTGGCGAGTGGTAGCCGGTCTGGAGGAAGAAGCCATTCGGGTTTCAGTGACTTCTGCAGGATTTGCCGGCAAGCCTCGGCCTTCATCTCCCATTGTGCTGGAGACATTGTGTCGTGACTGATTAGGAGGGTTTGGCCGCGACGGGTGAAAACAGTATGAATGGACTGCGTGCTTCAATTATCCTAGTGGTCTTTGCGCGACAGATATAATTGAACTGAGCTGCTAGAGCTCCCCCAGCAACAATGAGTCCGGATACGACCCCGCTGGCGAACACTATCAGTGCCGCGTTCCTGTTCCGTGATTATCAAATGACATGCTTCCGTCATCCAATCAATCACTGATGATATGCCGAGATGACGAAAAACTTCAACACTGATGCAAGGATTGCATGGTGATCACATGGGATGTACGACAAACAAGAAGCATTCTCAACACCCCGCGTCGGCTGTATTTTCCCCCTCCCCAGGTGATCATGGTTTATGGCAAGAAACCCCCGACCCATCGCAATTATCAGTGATTGGATACAGGCGATCCATTATCAATGATTAGCCTGCAGCTGCACTCGCAATTATGCGTGATTGGTCAATCATACCTCCAAGCTCCCCATTTTAGATTATGCCCGAAGGTTAATGTTGCATTTCAGTATCCACCAACTGCCAAACCCCTGAGCACATACCATCATGGCAGAGACCCTTATCCAGACGCCTGGGACTCATGTCAAGACTGGCTGAGCCCCGTTCTCTCCATGTCACCGAGACGCTATCGTTCGCAATTGGAAAACATTGGCCAGATGGCGTTCGTCAACTTATCATGATCAGATGCATCCTTCTTGTATCTCGCCATCTGACTATCTCGTGGACAGAGGCTGATTGACGTCCGCTGCTAAGTTTCAACCCGTTCATCTGCACTGGTTGATAAAGCGTCTGTGCCTCAACATCGTGCATGACAACTCAGCTGCAAACCAGCGAGTCCTTTCCATCGTCTTTCCTCTCTGAGTATACGAACTGTCTCGTCCGATCATTCGACCTTCCTTTCTTTCGGATTCGAACACTGTCACTGAGCCAGGCCTACTGTCGGCAATATTGTAGCCGTCATGGGTTCCCCCAATGAGCCGTCGGCGCCGCCGTCGGGCTTTGTTCCCGGCACCGTTCATCTCGTTGATCTCGAGGGAACAATGGCATCTCGTCATGCCGCTGTGGGTGCTCAGGATGTTGTGTTGATTCCGACGCCTTCGAACGATCCCGATGACCCTCTCAACTGGTCGCCTCGAAGGAAGACGCTGCTTCTGAGCTGCCTCTGTGTGTAAGTGCTCGGTCCGGTATTAACTTTAGACCCCCGCTGATGCATGGTGTTCCAACCGGTAGATATTGCCTTTCCATCGGCATCGCGTCGGCGGCTATCTATTCGATCCTTGTGCCCATCTCCGCCGCAACCAACCTAACCCTGGGCGATCTCAATGCCGGCACTGGATACATGTTCCTGACATTAGGATGGGGTTGTTTGGTCTGGCAACCACTGGCTCAAAAATACGGCAAGCGACCAGTCTATCTGCTAAGCTTGCTAGCAACCTTGGTAAGCCATCCCATCTCCAAAGCTGATGAATTGGGAAGCTAAAGTCTTGCCACCGCAGTTGATCATGGTGTGGGCTCCTTATGCAACGACAGGTAGCCAATGGACAGCCAACAAAGTTCTTGAAGGCTTTTTTGGAGCACCAATAGAGTCCCTTTGCGAGATATCGATCGCGGATGTGGTATGTTACTAGAAGTTCCAACTGCCTCTTTCGGGGATCCAACTTAGTACTAACAAGTACGTGTAGTGGTTTACACACGAGAGAGGTACTTACATGGGCTTTTACGCGCTCTTTCTTTTCGGCAGCAACTTCCTCGCCCCTGTCATTGCCGGGTTCATCAATGATGGTCAAGGATGGGAATGGGTCTTGGTACGTCGTCGAATCACATCTTGGTGCTGTGTTTGGTTGTTCGATGTTAACATCTAAATGCCTAGCACTGGTGCGCTATCTTCTGTGGTATTGGCTTTCTTATTTGCTTCTTCTTTATGGAAGAGACCAATTATCAGCGCGTGACGGTGCTGAATGCCGAGATCTTTGCTGGTGACGGAACGGAGTCGTCAGCTGAAAAGGGAGCCAAGACTCAATCCGATACCGACAATGTTGCCCCAATCCAGCCAGATGCCGATGAAACTTCAAAGACACCGTCTCCAAAGACATTCATGGACAAGATCAAGATGTTCCGCAAGCAGGATATGAATCTCCAGTTGTCACTTAAGACGATGGCAATTCGCCCATTCCTCTTCTTTTCTTTTCCGGTCATCGTGTTCTCTGGATTTTTGTACGGAGCTATCCTCTGTTACTTCAACGTCCTCAACGGCACTGCGTCTCTCATCTTGTCCAGCCCACCCTACAACTTCCGAGCCAGCATTGTGGGTCTTTCGTATATCTCCTGCCTGATAGGAGTTGCAATTGGGTAAGTCTGATAAGGTCGCCTTGGGCTCGCAGACAGAATCGCTGACTCGAATTGCAGAACGTTGTATTCAGGTCATCTTGGCGATGCATTCATCCTTTGGAAAGCCCGACATAACAAGGGTGTCATGGAGCCTGAGTTCCGCCTCTGGCTCTTCTGCGCACTGATGGTGGTCATCCCCGGCTCCCTGCTCCTGTGGGGAGTTGGTGCGGCCCACAAGGTGCACTGGTTCGGCTTGGTGTTTGCAATGGGGGCCTTGAGCGGAGGTGTAACCGCCGGGAGTCAACTTGCCATCACATACTGCATCGATAGCTACAAGGAACTCGGTGCCGATGCAATCGTTACAGTTATTCTTATCAGGAACACCATGAGCTTCGCGGTGTCGTACGGGTACGTAACTAATAACCTCGGTATCGCCTTGGCGACCTGAATTCGTCATCTACATGGCATGCGCTAATCATCAGGTAGTATCACGCCATGGGTCACGAATATGGGTTGGCAGAATGCATTTCTGGTTGCAGCGTTTGCTGCACTAGCTCAGATTTCACTTTTCTTCTTGATGATCAAGAAGGGTCGGGGGTTCCGCCAGAAGAGCGTTGCCAGTTATTGGAGATATCGAGAGCACGAATGAAACTTGTCGTCACCAAGACATGTGCCATGGGCCACTAGTGCCAGGCCAAGGATGATATAGAGTTTTGCTTTTAGTAGTGCGGTAGCATCTAATGTGGATAATTGGAAAGTCGGCGAGACATTACGCTAGTTCTGCCCCTGAATGGGAAGCCCAAAGGGCATGAATTGATACTCCTTGATTAACTAGTCTCACAACGTGAGCTTCCATTGCGGCTTTTATTGGCAGACAAAGGGTTTCCAACGAAGAGTACGCAGAAGTCACGATGTGGGCCAGAAATGCTTTGCAAGTGACAAAGGATGTATAGTCCCATTATGCTGTGGTATCGAGGACCAGAAACAGTGAGGTTTAGACAAATCAACGCTCCAAGACAAATCATTATACACTCTATATGCAAGGAAATCAAGAATGGATACGATAAACAGGCAGTGAGTGTGACAAGAGAATCCTTCCAGAGAAAGCAATACCCTTCCCCACGAGCATTGATGGCAGCATCTTCTAAGTGCAGTCTCCATGTCCTACACAGTCAGACCTGTACACTAGTCCCTCTCATTGACAGACATCTCCCACGCTCTAGCACCTTTCCTCGATCGGGTTCGTCCAAGGCGGAATCTCTCGGTTCGTGAAGTGCAGTCCTAAGAAAGGCCTCGTAGTCAGTCTCCTGACCGTTTTCGTCTCGTGTAAAAAATGCGCTTTTTTCGCTCGAAAATTCCACAAAACCAGATACAGGAGCCAACGAACACCGGGGCTCAGACCAAGCCAAGCTTCGCCCGGGCGACGTTTTCCCTGTTCCAGTCCCGGGACAAAGGAACGTCGTCTCTCACAGATTCGTTGTTGTTGCTGCTGCCGCCTTCGGCATCGAGCGGAGACAGCTCCATCTGGACGGCCTTGGGCATATCGGCGGACATACCGAGCCAACCACCGGCGATCATGGCAATAGTAGTGCACAGCTCGGTGCCAAAGAGAAGGATGAGCTTGGTGGCGAAAGAACCCATGACGGGGTCGAGGCTGGAAACTCGGTTGAAGGCGTAGGTGGTCGTGTAAGTCAGGTGAACCACGTGGAAGGGCATGCCAACAACGGCGGCACGAAGCATGAGCATTGCAGGGCGGCAGTTCGGGGAGTTGGCCGCACGAATGCGCTTGAAGGTGGGCCACATCCAAACGCAGACTCCGATCAGAACACCGAGTTCAAGACAGTTGCCGATCTTGTTCAGCATCGCGTTCATGACTCCCTTCTTTGGGTCCGGTGATCCTCCGTAGGTCGCGATGGCGATACCGCCAGTGTTCACAAGATGGGTAACGCCCAAGATGATCTTCTCAGTCCAGCGCTTCGGAGGGGCAGGTAGAATGATGTTGCTAATTTTCTTGTCAATTCAAACTCTCCCATTAATCTTAAAATCATCTTACGCCTCATAGACAATGCCAATCAGTGTCAGCGTCAAGCAAGCAATGCTGGCGGCGTTGGTCATGATGTTGACCTGGTTCGGTAGCAAAGGCTCGTGTCGTTTCACGATTTGCCAGATGTCGGCGATGAATCTCGCAGCAAAATGCGACAGGAAGATCGGCCAGCAGACCATGCCCTTCTTGCCGTGCTTCCAAGTGATCCATACTGCTGGCGGAAACATAATGGCGTAAAGGGCCAGTTCTGCGATGGCCAGGTTGACGACATTACTCGACACCGGGGGGAAGTTTGCGGTCGAATGGTCAGACATTTTGATATTTGTTGGATCGTTCGGCTTCGAATAAGTCGGACTGTGGTAGCTGTCGCTGTCGAGAATATCGAATTGGTCCGGGGTATGCAAACAGATAAAGCACTCTGGGGTATCCTGCTTGATAAGGTTGAGGACGCTAAAGCTTGCCAAGAGCTGACGAGATGGTGATGAGGTCGAACAGAATTCTGACCAGCGGTAGCTAATGACTATTAAAGAAATAGCAAGACTTCAGATCGAGTCATTCTCCATGACGACGTTTGAGTCTAAAACAAGTTCAGACTGTACAACAACAGAAGATCACTGACGCGATAACAAAATCTTCGTGTCTGGAATACTACACAGCCTGGAAATGGGACTCTGGACAATCTGGTGCTCCCCACCCGCGAGAGCGAGAGCGAGACCGACTCGCGCGCGACCCCATGGTAATTCAACGTCCTTGCGTCGCTATGTGCGATGCACGGGTAGCGCCGAGTGGAGCATCCGGGCTTTGACACGGCAGAAGATCCAATCAACACCCGCCGGTAGGTCCCATCCGGGCCGTCGTGCCAGGGCTGCCCCGGCTCGACTACTTAGGATCTGCCATCCGGTGAGAGATTGTGATCGCAACGAGGCGTTTCACGCAGCTTTTGGTGAAGCCAGCCACATCTGTCAGTTCCTGCAAGGACGGTTCGGTAGTTAATCGCACTAGAAAAGTCCACCCTGTCCAGTCTGCCTTGCCCGTGCCTTGCGATGATCTGCCCTACGGTGGGCTAGCGGAGAATTTTATCTGGAGCCAAGCCACCCATCTCAATCAACGTGAACCGGTCTATCTACTTGATCCCACGCAGTCCGGCATTGTGTGGGGGAACCTTCACGATTCCAGATCGACGCTAGGATTGCAAATACCGACGTGGACGAATCAAGAAGCCCATTGAGGGGGGCAGTAGTTGGCAAAGTTCGAATCCAAACAGCCTGGCCGCTCGGTTTCGATAAATCGACGAATCCGGTATCGTTATTTGGCTCTCCTGAGATGTCGACAATGCTTCGCCTTCCTTCAGATGAGGCGCAACTGAAGGGTGACAGGAAACTCTGCAATAGCGCGCCCCAGTCTTCATGTAAGCCTTCGTATGTGAAAGTGGTGTTGGCCATACACCTACTTTATTGATATTAATTCCAGTAAGCACCGGCATCGATCGTGCCGAACACATGGATTCGTCAACCACTTACCACTCATCCAATAATGGGATTGAGTTTGCGGTTTTTTGCCAGGCGCAAACACGCACACTGGATGACTCTGCCGCGATCCGAACAACCACTCACTCAGAGGATCTCGTCAACGCCGAAGCCTTATGTGGCTCTTGCGTCTGCCACCTGCCGCAATCAGGGTTCCGGCTTCGCTTTCGCCGTTACTTCAAGTTTTTCTGAAGTTCGAAGCAGCACAGGCCAGTCGTCCCGTCTTTTGTGGCTGGCCTAGAACTACGCGGCTGGACGTTGGGCACGCCCGCAGCGAAGCGCGCCGTTACCTTTCACTTCGCTTTCGCTGTTGTGGGGAGAGCCAGGGTATCTCCGGCACGTCAGCGCTTCGGCCACTTGGGTTCGGTGATTTCACGTTGTATCCGTCGATGGTAAGTTTCTGATTTTCAGCTGCAGGTTTGACAAATAACCTTTTCTGTTATTCCCTGCCAATGTGACCGTTTATCCCATCTTTTTCAGACTACGTATGCAACATCGACGGTGCTGGGCATCGACGCATCAGTCATCACAGCGACTGCGAAATCAACGTCGGCAAGTTGTAACGCATAACGGAGGTCCTGAAGAGGAATGTCGTCGTGGAAGAACCCTGATTCCTTCCGCCTTGGCGTTGATTTTGTGTCTTCGCCAAGTCCTGGGGTTACTGTCGCTACCTGTGTTGCAGGTCCTACTGTTTCGTGCATTATCATACAAGTGTACCTGCCAATCCAGGCATGGCTTTCCTTAACTCCGCAGCGAGAAATTCCGACAACATCTCCGGCAGGACTAAGTGTTACCTCTGGGCCATGCCAGCCACTCGTCAAACCGGTGATCTTCCTTGAAGTGGCTGTTTATATCTGCCAAGAGTTGACTTGACCATCCGCGGAAGAACCAATAGTCCTTGTCCAAAACTGCGATGAACACATTCAAGTAAGCTAGCAACACCAATGCATGTGGCTCGGTCCGCCGGAGATCATCAATGACTGACTCCGGGATGGAGTATGTCCATAGGAGGCAGGCGCTGACTTCAACCTGCAAGCCCACGTTGGCCAAACCGATGCAACTCCTCTCAAGAGACGATATCATTGCGTCGTAGTCCGCGCGGTTCGGAATCGGGTGTTGCTGAGAGCGGTAAAGAGACCGGAGGTGTGCCAGGGCATCAAACGTGTCTCGTGGTAAACGGGTTCCTTCGAGGCTTGGACGGGTATTGCTGCAACACAAGGTGAGCACAACATCAACATGTGATCCCGACAAACAGCTTCTTGCAGTGCCCAAAGTTGCTTACGCTTCAAGTGCCCCAATCATGGGTATGCCGTGTGTCATTGCAGCCAGATCGCTTTCCCTAATCCTTACCGCCCAACCCTCGAGGATGGCGCGCACGCCTCTCATGATTGACAGGAGGTTGACCACATCCGATATCGACGTATTCGCATTTGAACTGTTTCCTGGACACGTGGCTGGCGTGCAGGCCCGAGTATTGACTACAGCTGAGAAGCAAAACATGGCTTTCCAGTTGTCTTCGGTGACATTTGATAACAGGCTGCGAAACGTCTCTTGTCCTTTGTCGTAGTGGTATGCACTCCGGGCAAGGTACACGTGTCGTTCACCTGCGGGCAACAGGGAAGCTTTGTGGAGAGCTGCTATAGCGAGAAGGCCATGCATCACAAAGCCATGTCGACGTCCCTCTCTCGGAAACACTTCACGCCATACGTGCCTGACGGTGTCTCGATAGCCCATGGTATCGCATGTTAGGACACAGTAATGGTGCATCAAGTCGATGTCGGTAGTCCAAGAGTCGTCGGAGATAGTCGAGGAGACTAGAGAGGCTAATCTTGGATATTTCGGAACAAGATCAAGAAAGTCGGTACTGCCATCGCTAGGAAGGCATCTCTTCCTTCCACTTCCTGGAGATTCGGGTCGCTGATTTGACGCGGGTCTCTGGGGAAGGCTGGGAGCTTCCGATGTTGGTGTGTCCAATCCCGTTGGCTCGAAGGGCCTAAGATACAGAAGTTAGGTACTTGAACGTACTCCGGCGAGGGCAACGTGGGGCTTCACCTTAAACAGGCATGACAAGTCGAAAGATTGTCCTGGGTCGTTGAGCTTCCATCACTGACAAAGCTGCAAACAATTCTGTATCTTGTGCAATTGAAACATGCCGGATGACGCTCGTCGCACTTTATGAAGACCGTGTTAGCGGGTATCCATCTTGCCAGGGGCCACAATCCATTGCTAGAACCTCGCATTCGATAGGAGGAGGTAATCAGGAACGCGCATTCTTAACGCTGAAAGCCTCCACTATCTGTGCGCTTCGGCGGGTTCCAGCAGCACAGAGGGACTTGCCGCAGTGTCCTACCTTGACTTTGCGCTGCTTGCATTGGCGACAGCCGAACCGAGACTTTGTATGTGTCCGCCGAGTTGACATGATGGAGTGTAGGTGACGAGGCATGAGATGGGAAAACGAATGGGGGGTGCGCTTGAAGTAATACGAATGATCTCGGGTTCTCGTGCGTGGATCATCCCGAATCCGAATACTCGTATCGACTGCGCCCGAGTCAAATCACCGGAGCCAAGACCGCGTAGTGGACAATGCGAACCCGAGATATTTCGTGCAGACCAGGCCTATGAAAATCCACAGTCGGTGAACCGAAACTTTGTGCTGTCTGATCCAATAGGCTTCATCGACGGTACTCTTCTCTGACAAGCCAAGCATTTCTTAATGAACTACGACAGTCTCATCACAAAAGAAGTAATCAAAGTTGTAGGCAACCTGTAGTCTTAATATTTAATCCATAGGTCGAGATAAATCCTGAACACTTGTGCTGCCAACATTTGCTGTCCTAGGTATGTCACCAATCTTTCTCGAAGTCATCCTTCAGTATCTGCGCATTTGCTCCAACTCCCGCAGCGGAACCAGCACCCATAGCGACAGACACCTGCTTCACCTGTGTGGCACAGTCGCCAGCCGCAAACACGCCGCTTCTACTTGTCTCTTGCATGTAGCCCGAAATCGAGATATCTCCCGTTTGCGTAGTTTCCAAACCAAGTTGCTCTGCAAAATTACCGTTGGGGACCGTCTCGGGTTTGTGGAAAAGAAAGCCAAACGACGACGTTGTTTCATCCTCAAATTCAACAACTATTGAAGCATCGCTATTGTAGCCCAAGGTCTGAATTCTCCGAATCTTCCGGTCGTCCACTTTGAGGCCATGGATTTCGCCGGCTTCTTGCACATCGCTGAGGGTCAGGGATCCCGTACCATTGGTCAACAGGCATATGTTTGTCGAAAATTGCCGTGCAAGTTGACCGCATGAGATTGCGTTGGATAGCTTGATACTGCTGGTTGAAGTGAGAAGAACAGCTGCGTTGACGGCACCGAACTTCTCAAATCCTGAACGATGCATGCAGTTGAATCTGTCCATCTGTAAGTAATAAGAACGAGCTGTAGCCTTTGGGAGCACTCACATTCCCTTCCCCCAACATTCTTTGTATCCCGCGATATCTGGCAGCACATCACGAGTGCCCGTCGCCAAAATCACCTTTCTACTTTTCCAATACCGTCCGTTCTCATCTTCTACCTCGAAGACGGGGCCAGTCTCACGAATGGCCCTGGCTCCTGTCTTGGCAAACATGATTGTCTTGTACTTTCGTTGCAGCTCCGCCTTCAGTCCATTCCGGATCAAAGATGGATTATCTTGTTCATGAGCTCCGCCGATACGGGAGACGCTGTGCGCCCTCCAGTCTCCAGAGTCAAACACGACGGCGCTTCGAAGAACCCTTCCGAGATAGTGCCGCAG